TTGACGCCAAATATGTTTCAAAACCATACATGAACAGGCGGTGATCTTGCATTATCGTATATAAAAAAAGAAAACGAGTTACGATAACTGAATGATCACCCCTCGTATTATTTTTAGGTCTGCTTAAAGATTTCAAAATCGAAGTGAGTAAAGACGACGCAAATTGGGAACTATGCGTGTACCACGCTGGGCCATTGACAACATGTGGAAAGGATTGGCAGATGTTTAATTGTCCACTTGGGCTGTCTGGCCGTTATGTAAGGGTACGACAGCAACCTTTTACAACCATGATACTTTGTGAAGTAGCTATTTACGAACCATAAATACCACAATGAAGGGAGACATTAGAATTAACAAAAATAAGAGAGGGGAAAAGAGGGACCATGAGAACAGGGAGAGGAGGACGAGGGGGACGAGGGGGTGAATGAGGAGAAAGATGATATGGACTGGGCGAGCCAAGGGCCGAAATTAAGGAATATCTGGTCATGTTTACGAACGGTGACGATATCGTTGTTCGTGTATTGGAACAGAAATAACCAGTTGGCCTAATTCAGTAAAAACTGTACCAACTTTTTACTTTTTTTCAGATACAATTCGATAATTTTGAATTTAGATAGAATTTAAATAAAGAATGCAGAATTGGAACATTAGGGCACATTATGTCACTTTTTTCACTTTACAAATATCTTTTAAGCTCTCCTTTACTCACATAATACTATAAAATAAGTGTGTTGAGGACTGTTGCCACATAATAATGGGTAACATAAGCATCTTAAACATGGAAAATAGCAAAGACAGACAAGGCATTTAAACATGCAAAATGTCACCACCTGCCATTTGTTACAGATGACATAATTTTTTATAGATACAGATGCCAAACCCTGAACGCCGTCCACAAAAAAGTTGGAGACTATAACAATATGACATAATGAAAACTAAGATTCTTGAATGAAATTGGACTATTTCCATAATGATTGACCTTTAGTTCTTATCAAGGAGGTACATGATGACTATAAAAATAACTCGTTTAAGCTGTGACAACTCTTAGTGAAATTTAAAGCATGAAAAAGATATCTCTTAAAATGGACTTCATATTATTAAGATTATAACACTTGTAATTATAAACACAAAATGACTTTCATGCTTATTGAGTCAAGGCTTGCTCTATTGTCTTCTTTTTCCTTCTAGACGAATTCCTGTGCCTTAACTTAAATTGACACCTCTGTCGAATCACCTTATATAATTGAAATGTTTTAAGAATTTCAATTTTACTCAGTCAAGTCATTTCAGTTTCTTACTTAAACCAAAGTGTTTCTCTCATAAACTGATGAACACATGACTATAGATTAAAAATTCCCCCAATATTCAACAACTATACATAAGGTTAAACCTGTCCATCCTTACACTGAACAATTTGCAGTCACATTTAGACTCGAAAAACTTTTTCTGAAAACCTGTCCATATGAACACTTGTCAAGAAGACATTAGCCATTTATAGTGGTGTTAGATTCAGACAAGTTTTACTGTATGTGTTATTAAGAATGATCTCGCCTTCCAAACATCAAAGTGTACCAACAATTAAGTCTTTAGCCTTAATGATACTTCAAAACCAGTGTATTTTTGTAGTGTTTTGACATTTTATTGACAACAATCAATGAAGTTTCTCACTAATAGGCCCGTGGGCATTTATTTGAAGAAGGAGGCCTTTACATGTGGCTCTAATTTTGCCTCACTTATTGAAAACTTGCCTCACCTACTTTCAGATTCTGGCCATACATCTGCCTATTATATACAATAAAACCTTTATATAGTGAACACATTTGGAGCCACAAAAAGTGTTCGTTGTAGGTAGGTGTTTAATACAGAGAGAGATTTTAATACAGGATTCAATGTAAAATGTCTCTTGAAGTGGTATTCACTAAAGAGAGGTGTTCACGAAGACAGGTTTTTACTGAATTAGGTTTTAAGTTTTTAACTAGATTTCATGATCTTTTCAACTTTTTATCATACTTTGTGTGTCCTATCACAGTGAATTAAATCATAGTCTGCACGCATTGCATATATTTATTTTTGTTATTTCATTTCCTAGTTGAAAGTTTTCATCAAGTTTTCTTTTCATCAACTGGATCAAAATTATCCTTTTCCATCTTTTCTTTAAACTTCAAGTATTGGTAGCGCCTATCAAAGTGTTTTACCTGCAAGACATGATAATAGCACATTATCAACAAGGCATTAACATAAAAAATGTAACTACCTGCCATTTGTTACAGATACCAAACACCAACCACCATATGCTGAATACCACCACCTATAACAATATGTAACCAATATGTAATTAAAGGAGTGAAACAAATATATTCTACTCATATGCCATCTATTTTCATATTTGCACATGTGACTTCTCCGTCAGTTTGGCTTTAGATTTTACATTATATAGTTGATACAGAATTCCATAACAAGCTCTAAAAAGAATGTGCAAGGATGAAGGATTTTAGTATTTAGTAGGGCATATATGTAGTCATCATTTTATCATAACACAGAAATCTGACATAGACATTTTTGAAACATATCGTATTTCTATTACATCTGCAATAATATCTAAGCCAAGTAGTCTACACTTTACACATAAAAGTCAAGTAAAAAACAGAGTTTGACTTACCCAGGCAGGAGGACAGTCAGACATATATGCTTCTTTGAATTTCTTGCAGAGTCCTTTATCTCCATTATTTTTATCAAGACAATCCCAGAACTGATCTCGAGAGTCCCAGCATTGTTTCCGCTCTGCTTGTTTTGGAAAGGACATGTTGAAAGAAGTCAATATTTAACAATTGTGTCCCATAGTATGAGTACTTGTATCTTTATCATCAGTGTACAAATGGTGCCTGAAAATAAATTTGACATTGTAGGCCTATATCAAGAAAAACAATAGAAAAACCTAATTAGACTAAGTGAAAATAGGCAGAGGATTGCAAATCCTTTCATTAATATTGACATGCAGTGGTATGAGTGTGATTGGTCAACTGATACATGATATGAGAAGACAGGAACCAGAAGTATTTCTTCAGTATTTTCTTGAACCCAGGCAACCCATCAGATTCAAAGAAGGTTTTTTAATTTCTAATTTCCGACCATCCAATTCATAATTCACTTCTGCATACAATAAGAAATTGACACAGTAAACATAGTAATGGGTATCTGACAGTTGGCAGGAAGATGGATGAACCAACCTGTTTTACAAACAATAACAAACTTTGAAATTTCTGATATCATGGATTGATATTTTTCAGAAAATCATTTATCAGCCCCACATGCAGCTGATAATTGTTTATCAGCTGCATATCCGTATGATTTAGCTTATTGATATTTCAGAACTTGACTCGATTTTTTATACATGTTCCCACTTCCAGGGCCTATGAATATATCACTTGTTCCCTTCACTCTGATATATTTTATCAACTCATCAGTAAAATGCCATCCTTCAAAATGATATGATATCGTGTATATGTTCTCTTTCAAGTGTACGACTGTGTAGCTTCTTTGATATGATGTACATGTATTTTGAAGCATGGGCTCAGAGAATATTTGGCAGAAATAATAATCTAAAATTCTCATTGTTGAGAGAGTAAACCTTTGATGTATCAAACATCTCAATACATTCCCATCTTATTAACAATATAGTAAAAATTAAGACTAGAGTTCATTCGTTAAACATCCACGATGCTTTGCTACATAACTTATAATGGACTGGGAATGGGAATGGCATGCAAAAGGGGCAAACTAGAACACGCTTGAATATTGGTGTGAGGTCGGGTTCGGCCGAGTAAGCACCTCCTGCTGTATACACCCCGCCCATATGCAAGCATATGGAACACCTGTAGTCTGGTGGTTGGCCACAAATACAAGCAGAGTTCCAGTGGTATTTTTGTGGAATGGGTCGCCTTTGGGTTCCACGTTTGTCTTCTTTTGATCCATAGCCATCGGGAGCTGTCTTCTGCTGATAAGCTAATAGACTTAATGGCCTTCTTGAGCTCTTTGGGTTGCAGCCCTAGTTTGGGCAATAGGCTTCTAACTGATGTTGCTGGAAACCCTCTGCAGCCAACTTCAATAGGGAAGACAGATGCGTGCCAACCTCTGGACTCAGCTTCCTCCGCAAGGCCTTGATTTTTTGTTGCTTTTAACTCGTATGAGACTTCCAGTCTATCCTCCCAAGGGACTGTCAGTTCGATAATGAGAATAGTCTTGGTCGAGCTTGAAGTCATAACCATGTCTGGGCGTAGGGTCGTTACTGCCATATTCAGAGGAAAGGCAAGTTTCTGGTGAAGGTCTACTTGGAGTTGCCAGTCTGTTGCGCTCGTTTAGATGCTAGACCTGGGCTGTGATTTGCTGGAGGAGTTTGCAGCTTTGGGTTTTCCTTCCTTGATGAGCCAAAGTTCTGGTGTTGCTGGGGGATCAAAGCACTGGTCGACATATTTAGCAGTTTCCTGGAGCACTCTGTTGTGTCTCCATGTGAACCTTCCTTCGCTCAAAATAATTAATAATTAAAAAAACTCAAAATAACCCCACATTTATGGGGTTACCTTCGCTCAAGTCAAGAGTGCACTTGTCAGACTCTTCTTTGCCCCATACTCTCAGATTGGTTGGAGTTGACAAAAGATCGGCAAAAGCGCGAAGAGGAAAACTTAGGCAGCCCTGTTCCTGTGTCCAAAGCTCTTAGATAATATATAAATTAACTGTTATAAATGAAATAAATATAAAATCTTACTTTTATAACTTTTTCGTACCGGAAGTGACCGAACAACACTTTTTTGATATCAAGTTTCTAAGAGTAAAGATCATATTTCACTTGTCTTATTTAAAAATATTTCGAATTAAATTTAGAGAAATGTGTTATGTGATATGTTTTCACAGACTACTAGTGTTTGTGATAGCGGTATATATCTACAATTTAATATAGTTCGGGCAAGCGTATTGATATATTGTGTTCGAATGCGCATGCGTCTAAAAGCAATGAGAAAAAATTCTCAAATTTATTTTCATTTTCTGTGTTATTTTTTAGATTAAACTAGCTATAATTCAACAGAAATCTAATTGATTCTATGTATGTATGATTCATACAGCGTAGCATAATTTGTAGGAAATCCAATGCGTAGAAACCTGTAAATCGGACATGTCAGAACTAAATGCAGAGGATGTGGAATCAGAAAATTTGAAAATGAAAGGAAATGCTGTCTCAGATTCAGAGACAGATGTAGGTACCAATGGAATTGCAACTGACCCACCAAATATGTCTGTCATAGCAGATGATATTAAGCTAACAACAACCAAAGTGTTGCCAAATGGATGCGTCAAACCAAAAACATTGGATAACATCATATCAGCTTCTTCCAAAGTGGATGTAAAAAATGTTGCATCTTCGGAGAAAAATACAGACTCGGATGATCAAAATGATTCAAATTCATTGGATACACACATGCAATCAGTCCCTAAGGATAGCAGTACCGTGAAAAAACTTATAAATGATGAAGCTCAATCCGAACTGTCATCAGACCTTGAAAAAATGTCAATACATGAACCAATAGAACTAGAAGGAGAGAGCAAACTCAGCTCCGATATCCCAGGAGACAGTACAACTAAAAGTTCAATTACATATGTAGAATACCAGTCTGAACTACAGATGCCTGCTATAATGAGACTAGTATCCAAAGACTTATCAGAGCCATACTCTATTTATACATATAGATATTTTATACATAATTGGCCTCAGCTTTGTTTCTTGGTAGGTTAACTAGCATGTCGGTCTAAGCAACTACGAACACCAGTGTATATGTGCTTATTTTAACACTCTTTTCAAAGATAATTTTGGCCCCATATACGATGAAGTGAAATAAACCTTCAGTATGCGTTCGAATGTCTCACTCTGAAATTTAATTATGGTAAAACCTGTCTATACAGAGCTGGCGTTAATGCCGTTTTTACGCATATTTGATCAAGTCTGACGCAGAATTTTCAACTCGTTGCGTTTCACTCGACGCACATTTATCCCCAAATAGACCAAGGTTATTTCCAGGGAATTAGCTCCCAAATCAAAACTAAGTTTTGACCTATACCTTACCGATCAAATTATATCTCACGCTCTTTCATTGGTTTGAAAACTTTTGAAAACTTCTTTATTGCGATACTTAATCATGGCAAAAGTCACTTGCATCATAAAAAAAATGTTTTGCTACAAAAGGAAGTTGCCTGGGTTTGCAGTGTTCCAATTTGACAAAACATGAAGTCCCATTGCAGCACATTTATTTTTGTACTCTAGATTTATCCAAAATGAGCTTAATTATAAAAATTCAATTTGACTCACATTTTCCAAGTTTGACCCACTTTTTTAATTGAACTGGGTCATGTGACACACAAAATATTGAGCCTACCACCAGTACTGCTATAGTAAACACCTCACTCTATCTAGTGAACACCTTTTCTCAGCACATATTCCACAACATAGTTCTGTGTAAGATTGCCTCTAGGTAATGAACCTACCTACAGTGAACAATTTTGTGGCTCCATTGGAAGGTGTTCACTGTACACAGGTTTTACCATAATTAAAATAAAAAAGAAATTACCTCACTAAAAAGACCACGTATGGGATGATTAACAGATTTTCTAGAAGTCATATTGAATTATTCCATAGAAGTCGAACTCAAATTGTCTGATTTTCACAGTTCTATCAAGTGTGCTGGTCAACTCCAAAAAATATCATTGTTAATACAAACATTAATTTAATTAGCTTAATTGACAACTCAGAATTTTAATTTTGGCCAATGGGGTTAACATAATAATCATTCAATTTCAATAAAGAGAAATGTATTGTACTTTACTACATTCTATAATTCTGTTACTATGGAAACCAATCACAGCTGATGATGGGAGGCTCTCCTAGATTCTAAGCTGCATGTTCGCAATATCTCTTGCACTTTGCACTATATCTCTTGCACTATTGCAATGGGCATGTACTGAATTTGTTTTTTTGTTGTTCCAGGCAATGGATGAGGAAAAGTGTATTGGAACAATTGTTTGTAAATTAGACTTTCATAAGAAAATAGTCAGAAGAGGATATATCGCCATGTTAGCTGTTGACAAAGATTATAGACGGAGAAAGATTGGTGAGAACACATCATTTATAAGTTTAAATGATCTAATATTAAGTTAAATAGGCCTACGAGGGTTGTCCCAGAAGTAATGCACTATATACTCTAACTTTATCAATAAGAATATTAAGTATATAGTGCATTACTTCTGGAACAACCCTCGTATTTGATTAATTTGGAAAATTACAGATAATTTGGTCAAAAGAGATTACTGGTAGCCTAGACACTATTCATACTCGGTGAATAAGTCATGCTCTAAGAATTTTAAAGTCATCAACCAGGGATCTCTCCACATTGAAAACTCTGAGGCGCAGGACCTCCACAACGCAAAAAGGCCCTAAAACTCCATAAAAGCCCTAAAATGTTACACAAAAAAATTCCGAAATCCTAAAATCACAAAAGATTCCAAAAATCTGAAATATTGCACAAAAAATTTCATTTGCAATTTTTTGAGCATTTAGCAAAATCCACTGTCACCTCATATCTAATATTTCCTAGTGGATAACATTCATATTCTGTATTACAGGATCTATTCTGGTGACAAAGTCTATTCAAGCCATGGTGTCCAATGATTGTGATGAGGTAATACAATTTGAAAATATAATTTTTATGGATCTTTGTAGTCATGTTTTGAAACATAAAATTGAGAGAAAAGAATGGAATCAGCAAGGAATAAAGTGAACAAGTATGTAGTTAATGATCTAAATTGTAAATGTCAAGCATTTATGCAGTTCATACAACTATACAAGGGACTGAATTAAAACTTCCATGAACATTTTAGCATTCATTATTGCATGTATCCTGCTTCTAATGGGACCCCTGATTCAGTGAAAATAGTTGTTCCACTTACAGAGGTGTTCCACGCTTTTATTTAATAATGTTTCTTTTCTGTTCAAGGTGGTGCTAGAGACGGAAATAACAAACAAATCAGCATTGCGTTTATATGAGAACCTGGGATTCGTAAGAGACAAACGTTTATTTCGTTACTATTTAAACGGAGTGGATGCCTTAAGGTTAAAACTATGGCTTAAATGATGCAGAGTAAAAAAATTAAAATTGAAATTTGTGGCGCTCATTTTGTTGCACCAAATGCAAGGGAAGAAAATCATTGAGAAGTAACGGCAAGAGGTGTGAAATGGCAAGGCCATTGTGAGATCTTGAAAGATGTAATTTCCCAGAATTCCTGTGTTATTTGGCTGGAAATTAGTGGAAAGGGAGCATTTTACATCAACATTAAGGAGGAGTTCTTCAAATCAAGAGGAGTTTTTTGGTACTTTTGTATGAGCCAGTGGAATAAAGTGAATGTAAAAGCCAGTGGAAAAAATCAACGTAAAAGCGAATATTTGTGTTGGGAGTTGAAGTTAGCTTCTGAATCAGTCTATCAATAAAGCAATTAGGGCATGCTTGGAATCAATGAGGGCATATATTCTGTTTATGCCTAATGTGTCCTTATGGCTCTTTGTATGAAAATACAAGTAAATGGCAAAGACAAATTAAATAATTGCAGAATTGATTTATGTTCATTTTAATCAATTTTTGAACAGTGAAGATGTCTATAATAAACACATCTTACTAGAAGTATCAAATAAAAATTGATTTTATTTTACTATGAAGCTCATTAAATGCAAGAAAATCAGTTGCAAAATATGGTAAATGGGTACATTCAGATAAAAAGGTACAATTTATATTACTATTAACTATACAATTACAGACACCCCCTCAGTATGTCCAAAAGGAGACTTACAGTTTTAAACTTTTTGAGGGGAGTGTTGGTCAATTGAATAATGACAAATTGATAGTTTATGAAGCAGTGTATTAATTTCTAGTTTAAGTAATTTATAAAAGGGAATGACTTGCATTTTATTTTTCACTAATATTGATATTTAGTCTTCTGATTTTACTGTAAATTGGTAAATCAGTACTTGTTTAATAGCTACTTGTAATTTCAGCTTTTGTGTGAGTATTTTATATTGTTCAATAAAAACGGTTTACAAATTCATTTGTTTTTCTTTATTGATGATGTTGAATGTAGATTGTGATTTTGGTTTTCCATTAGCTGAGATTTCCTGCGATCTGATTGGCCAATGTAATGTAAATATATCCTCTGTTTTCTCATGAAATATTTTACTCTTGAAAGAAGTGGTTCAATCAGCTGGTATTTGTGAAATACATGATACTGTCTATGGCATTATATTTCTATGTCACCATCACAAGTGATGACGTACTGTAACATTTTTTGTGGACAGTGTTCGGTTCTAAAAAATGGCAGGTGGTGACATTTTGCAGGTTAATGCCTTACAAGTCATTGGAGTCATTGAATAATGTCAGAGATGTAATGCAGCTAGGCAGTATTTCCAATGTATTCGCAAGGGGTATTTAAAGCTAATATTTTCAGAAACACACTACTACTAGTCTAGTATCTTTTTGGTGGTCCAAAAATCATTCAATTTAGAAGTTCTTGTTATCAGGTTTTCAAATGGTTTTATCAATGTTATGACCCCTGCTATGTATAACCGGGGTCATAACATTGAGGCCGGGCTCATAACATTGGGATAGTATAGGGAGTAGGGACAAGAGAACAGACAAGCAAGACTTTTGACCCCTATCAATGAAACAACGACTGACATTGCAGTATTTCTACTTTACAAAAATAGTATTTTTCTCTAAAACACGGAGTAATACTCAATAAATTCCAACCGCTTTTGGTGAGCTAAGAAAACGACATGAACTAGGGTACATGTATATTGGCTTACCCTTTGCATTCGTTCGACTTCACTTCTTAAAAGAGAGCTTCAGGTAATATTGGCTAGATATATACAAAAACAATGAAAATGATTGCAACATTGCATTACTTGTCACCAATAGTTTTTGAAAAATATAAATGTATAAAAAAAGTTCATGTTTTTATTTCTGCCCTGAAAATGTAAAACTGACATCATAACAAGGAGGTGGCACGATTTTCTGGATTAGTCTACTTTAATTGGGATGGGATGGCTGAAAATGCATGCTTGTAACATTTTCCTGTCCCATAGGTAAAAATAAATAAACAACTTATTTTAATAAAATTTATTCAAAAATATAATATATACTATATAATCATTACTTATCTCTATATCTATTAAATCTCGTAAACTGCAGGTAATTAACTTGTCAACAGAAACCTTCTTATAAGTTGATATAAAGCCAATTTGTGTTTTGCGTTATATCTAAATTACAACAATTGATCGGAATTGTTTTACTTTAAGCTTTTGTGACCCTGCCACAATGTACATGTATAATAGTTATTAATTGAAAGTTTTCTGCACAATGATAAAACGTCATGGTGACTTAATGTCAAAATACAATAAAACCTTGAATAGTGAACACATGAAGCCACGAGAAGTGTTTACTTTGAGACTGTAGGTGTTCACTTAAAATCCATTTAGGTTGTTTTATTGTCGAAACTAGAACTTGTATTTGATTAAGGACAGATCAGAGGCCAGGCAAGGCAAAGCTGAACAAATGAGGCAAAAACTAAGCTGAGGCATCATGCCTGACTACGCCATACTTTTTATTATTAGATAAAGGTGTTTATTAATTTAGTAAGACAGATCTACTATGGACATGTGTTCACTAAGTTTTATATAAGTACAATGAAGCAGGAACTATAGCCTTGCCCATGTCTTTTTATTTTTTCTAATTTTTCTTTCACGAAGATAATACAGACTCTGGCAAGGCTACAGGAACTATTAACTTGAAAATCTTATTGCAAAGAGTAATCTTGCATCTAATCCCTTATCACCCCGGATTAGCCTGACTACGGTAAAGTCAGATACCGTTGACACAAATGGCGGACATAACTGTCGCTTCAATTAGATTTTCATGAACTGTATGTTTAATAGAGTACCTAGACTAAATTCCTTTGGAACAACAATCAATCAAAGTGTCTTAATGCTCATTGTACAGTTAATAATGTTCTACCATCGAAATAAAGTCTTTAATTTAACTGATCAAAATGAGATACGGGACAACGGACACTGTAATTACCATATGCCATTGTCTTTCTAAATTACTCAAATTCAGATTCCGTTGTCATTGACGATATCGAAGAGGCTATATTGTGTCGATTCACGACCCAATTTGATCGAAAATGGGATTTCATATGATACATTATCACAAGAGCTTATGCATGCACAGAATTAACATCGATAAAATCCCATGAAATGAGGACCAAGTGATTAAACAGTTGAAGCGACGGTTATGTCCGCCATTTGTGACAACGGTATCTGACTTTACCGTAGTCAGGCTATTCCGGTGTGCTTATATCATATGAAGCAATGCAAAGTGTAGCAATTTTAATTGAAACATGTAATGAGATTTACACATGAATGGTAATGAGAATATTCCACAAATATCACATTTAAAGTAATAGACTATAACAAAAATTACATACTATATCTTCATTCAAAGGAATTCAGCAGTTCACTGTACAATATGCACTGTTTCACACTTCCATTTCAGCAGTTTACATTCAGAGGTATTGATAGCAAGGGGGTTCAAAATATTGGAAACTACATGTAAAATATAGCATTCAATTGTTAAATTGTGCGTCTCCACTTTAATTAGGGGTCCCAGGATACATCAATTTTATTCAGTTTTTAAATATAAGGGACCCATAATGCATCAGTTGTAACTTATAAGTGTTCATAAACTGAACAAAATAGTTTTTCACATAAGTACAACATTTTACCATAGATTTAGGATTTTAATATTTAAAAAAGTCTGTATAAAGTTTTAAAGAGATTTCTCTTGAATGTCCTTATCTCCCCAGTTAAGTCTAAGATGCATTTACTCATCTGATTTAACATATTGTATTGTTCAATCCAGCAACTTCTTTGTAAATGTTTTATACAAAAGATTTCAATTGTTTCCTTAAATTTTCTCCAGCCTACAAGCCATATTTAAAGCGAATACAGTTCCAGGCATATGTCCTGCATTAGGTGTTTTCACTCTACCATTCATTAAATATCAATTTTCCAGAATATCTTGATGTAAGTTTGCATAACTACATTACAGCTGTCATGATGTCCGTTTTTATCATTATGTATAAGTAGAGTTTTTCACTGAGTTTTCTCCTTGAGTTTTCTTGCCTCCCAGCGTTCAATATCAAAGGCAGTTTGACCAGCAAAGTAAAGCCCTAGATATATTGTTAATATTGTCACTGGCCAACCTACAAATACAAGTAACATGTAGACAGCATGACAATTTTGAATAAAAATACAGGACAGAATGAAAAACAAATGTTTTGAAAGACTAAATGAGTAAAATTGGTGAGGAACTTGGAAATAAAGTAAACAGTCTTTATTCTATTATGGAGTCATTAATTAGACTAAAAAGGGCAAATAATATGACGAAGGTTGTCCAGGGTGATTCATCCTTTTGTTGACAGAAATCAAGGTTTGTAGTAAACAAACTACTACTGTCTATACTGAGAATATTGTCCTAGTTTGTATTGATTTCATCCTCATAAGAGCTAAAATAAGGTTGCCACGTAAATATATGGGAAACTGGACAATAGTTCAGCAGTTCAGTAGGCTAAGTTACTAAGGTAATATTCACTCACAGGGTCAATGTTTTTCTCTCATAAAACTTATTTTATGAAGGGAGTCCCAGGCAAACAAAATTAAGTTACAAAAATAAAGGACGCTTTTATAACATTTACCTTGTAAAATAATCCTATCAAAGTACAGATAGCCCAATCGACTTCCACCGAAGAAGTATAAAATTGCAGCAATGCTCATGACCCATAGTGGAATTATCGCCAATGCCTGAATCCTCCTGTACATGGTTTTCGAAATATGGGACTCCTGTAAATAGAGAACAAAATAAATGTTGGAGGCATGAACCTGAATCTAAAGAAAATAGATGAAGCAAATTTAGGAAAATGTAATAATCATGGGTGTAGCGCTATTTTTCTAAGTAGTACGCCACCACCACAGGAACAAGAGTTGAGTGAATCAAAAACGAGCATTCAGGGGGGTTTTGGGCCGGTTCTCCCCCAGGAAAATTTTGAAATTTGGTTGTATTTGGAGCGAATATGCAACTGGTAAGCCCGTGCGTACCCAGCGTACTGGGCGCTATGCCCATGATAATGATACTGCTCATTTCACTTTATTTGCACAGTTTTGGTTCAGTACATATTTTTTTTATCTAAATTGTAGTGCAGTTAACTTTGTAAACTGTTATGTTTATATGGTAAATTATTTCTTGTGACTTTAAATCCTTACCCTAAATTGCACCACAGATTGCAGTTTCGAGAACAACTTTCCTAATGTCTCTATGGTGATACCTTCAAATATATAAATGGATTTATGTCTCTATGGTGACACATTAAAATTTGCAGATTCATGTTTCTATGCTGATAACTTAAGACATATCAACTAATAGATATATTAAGACTTGAATAAGAGTTTGAAAGAAAGCATTTGTAAAAAGAAATTGACAACTTTATTGCCCATTCTTTTATCAATCTGTTCAAGGAAATATAATATTGTAAATGTCCAAATTTTCGCTGACATAAAAATTCACTATTGTCAATCTGAAATGTTTCATGGGCATTAAATTTCACAAAATCGCCTGTTGTTTAAAGGGACTTTTCCATGTTAAATTTATGAGAAATTTTAGTGAAACCCCTGGTATTCCCTGGGCATCATGATATTACATGTTGAAATACAATTTCTAATAAAAACGTGTAGTTTAATCTCCCTAATAAAGTGTATATAATTCACCTATAAAGTTAAGGAAAGGCCCATATTGCAAAGTGCTTCTCTGCCCCATGCCAGTAGTATATAAAGCTAAAACACACTATTGACCTAAGTAGTTGTCTCAACACGCCTTAATATCCCTAATAAGTACAAATAATTCACCTATAAAGTTGAGGAAGGCCCATATGGCCAAGTGCTTCTCTGCCCCATGCCAGTAGTATATAAAGCTAAAACACACTATTGACCTAAGTAGTTGTCTCAACACGCCTTAATATCCCTAATAAGTACAAATAATTCACCTATAAAGTTGAGGAAGGCCCATATGGCCAAGTGCTTCTCTGCCCCATGCCAGTAGTATATAAAGCTAAAACACACTATTGACCCAAGTAGTTGTCTCAATACGCCTTTCTTTGATCCACCCATTGGAATGTAAATATGTCTGAAACATAAAAGAAGTATATAACAAATTACAAGATTCAGACAAGTTGAATTTAAATTTGTATTGTAAAAAATAAAAAATACTGCAGATCTTAATACATCATTATAAGAATATACAGGGTGTCAAATAAGTCCCGTCCCCCCTCTACAGCCAAAACCAAGATATTTGGTACCAATCGTAATATACCATTGGAAAGGTCTTCCAAAATTACGTTGATTGGCATATATCTGACACATGTCAATCAATCTCACAAATTTTTACATTGTATCAATTGAGGAGACCATAGGCCTAGAAACATGGCACTTTGGCGTATTTGGCAGGATTTAAGAATCAGATATAAGAAAGGTCAAAGGACCAAAACTTGATTAAACATAAATACATCCTATCTGATATTATTTATTGTAAAAAAATCTGTTCTTAAAGACTATTTTCACTTTTTCAATGACCAATGAAGTGTTGACTCCTGTAATGAATGTACGATGACAGATTTCCAGTTGACATTTATATCATATGTTGTACTTACATTTTTAAAAAATTGTATAGCCCTCTATCAAAATATCTGCAAGGAAATAAAACAAGAATGCAATATATATGTTTAAATTATCTGAAATAGTTCAATTAATAGATTGAACTATCTTATGATGAAAAGGAATGAATATTTTAATTTAGAGTATTTATTCAAGATTCAAGTGTTTTTGACGAAAGTAAGCCATTTTAAGAACTTTGTTTGAAAAACAGAGGTCATTTCATAAAAAGTAATAAAAAATTGTAAATATATTTCATTTTCTTAAAATTGTTCCAGTACTGAAATAACTAAGACACATACTTCTTTGAAATATATTTACAAATATTGCCACTTTGAAGGTTTGAATCAGAAATGGTGGGGCTTCTTACTTCCACATATCTGAATAATAGTAAATCCTTAAGACACATTTAGGACCCAGTGGTGGATCAAACTGATCGAATTTGGAGAGATTCGCAGGAATGCCGAACATGGGTACATATTTCACTTGGAAGTATACACCATGAAGAACACCTAGAAATAAAGAAAAACAAATTGTCATTCATTTTGGTTATATATTTAAAAAATAGTCTTTTATCAATGAAATAAGTTGATTCATGAAAATTACTGACATGTATTCTGCCTCTTAGCTCAATTACTTTTATGACTCCCAATTAAAGTGAGATGATATATTCCCAGGAAGACATCCATAGGCTTAAAACCAATCTGATTGGTGGAGCCCCACTCCAGGCTATGCCTTCCCGTAGTTTTCATGGTCGGTTGACCTATGTATGGGTTAGATTGAAGGTAGGCTAAAACTAGCTCATGGTGCAAAGGCCATGAATTCTCATGACCTCATCACCCTGTGTGTGGAGCTGGTGTGAAGATGAGGTATCTAAGACTGTAAGAGGCACATGTCAGAACTGCTTGAAAATAGAATTAACTTTTTTGTTTGTTTAAAGAACAATTAAATTTATATACCTGTGCCCACTAATGCCCATAGAGGTATTTGACCCATCAATGTCACTTTTTGGTGTAAGGCATTGATATAAAGAAGGTGTGATGATATATGGTAGAATATGCCCCAAAATACAACACGAGCTCCATCTTTTAAGATTGGTAACAACTTTTCTTTGCTCCATGGTTTTAAGGGCTTATTGAACTGAAAATAAAAGTAAGAGTTATTTTCTTCCTCATTATGACATACCATTCTCAATGCTACAATCTAATATTGTGATTTGTTAAATTAGTAGACTAATAATGTTTTTTTGTATCTTAGCTGCAAATCTATGACACAACTTTTGGAGGAATAGCCTTGCTTATACCATAGCTTTGAGGCTGATATAAAGATGGCAACAGGGTTCATCTTTAGAAAAAATATAAATAGACAAGTTAAATGTACAATACATATTGTTAAATATCATGGGCTTTTACTTGAAAGCCCATGGTTAAATCAACCTAAAGCCATGTAGACGGCTTGTTCTATATCTTTTTGCCAGAAACTTGGTTTTGAACTTTCATGAAATTACGCATTTTTCAACAATTACCTAACAACATACCTGTTTTTGAAATAAGTCATATGTAAGAATGGGTCCAGTAAAATACAGTGGAATATAAAAGTTATACAGCAGTAGATCAGTAAAGTTTGTCTTTAACAACCATAAAGACTCAAGGTCATCTGGTTGGCCATCTTGGTTTTGTCGGCCATCTTGGATTTGTCGTCCATCTTGTTGACACTTTATGAGGGCGAAGCTGATGTATCTTAGGTTGCATATGGCAAGACTAAATAGAAGGAGGTAGTACTGTTTCTGATAGGGGTCATCTGAGTATAACTCTTTCTGGAAGGAAAATAATTAAATGTACTTTATTAGAGAGTATAATTCTTTCTAAATATACAAGAAAAATAAGCCTAATTTTACACTTTTTTCCTTTAAGTCCAACCACTCTTTTCTCTTCTATTATCAATAAAAATCTGAATCTGAAATGGATGGACAGACACTTTCCCAGTCTCCATAGGCTTACTGTTTGACCCAAATAGCAGACTGGGGGTACGCACTCAGTTAAATGATCCTGGCAGCTAAGAGTTTTCATAAATGCCTACAACTTCCCATACACTCAGTTAAATGATCCAGGCAGCTTAGAGTTTTCATAAATGCCTACAACTTCCCATACACTCAGTTAAATGATCCAGGCAGCTTAGAGTTTTGATAAATGCCTACAACTTCCCACACACTCAGTTAAATGATCCAGGCAGCTTAGAGTTTTCATAAATGCCTACAACTTCCCATACGCTCAGTTAAATGATCCAGGCAGCTTAGACTTTTCATAAATGCCTACAACTTCCCATACACTCAGTTAAATGATCCAGGCAGCTTTGAGTTTTCATAAATGCCTACAACTTCCCATACACTCAGTTAAATGATCCAGGCAGCTTAGAGTTTTCATAAATGGCTACAATTTCCCATACAAGAGTCACACTTCAAAAAGTTAAGATAAGTTCCTACAACTCACCATCCAAGAACCAATTTGATCATGGTTGAGTGTAGCAAGGAGAAGCACAGCTGCTATCCATACGACAACAGCTGACCCAGTCATAGCAGCTAGATAGATCACAATTAAGTGACTGAGGATTATCACTAGAGGTTTTGATCCAATAATGATCCCTACTGCTACAACTCCGTACAGTAGAAATGTGTACTTCCTCCACTGAAATAGATAATAGTATAAACATGATGCAAAATAAAAATTTTCAAAAAGGCTTCAGTTTCACTTCAGATCTCAAAGAAAAATAGGAAGCAATTGTAAACATGATCACATCGTTAAATCATTTTTCTCCATATCTGTATACATAGTAAAACCAGTATATCTAAACACCTTTTAAATCTGAACATCTCTCAACTTGACCACTTTTTGGTCCAAATTTTTAATCTGCCAAAGACTGTAATTTTAACTAAACCTTGAAATGTGAACAACTGCCAAACTGAACACTTTTGGTGAGTCCCCAGTGTAGTTAAAGATTACACAAGTTTTACTATATGGCTAAAAATACTTACATTTGGGCATAGATATTCTGTAAGTCTTGCAACTATGATATGTCCAATGAGCCATGGATAAATCTCAAAGAACCAACCAGTCCAGAACTCCCATTCAAAGTTGCTTATATCCTGAAATATATTCAAATAAAGTTGCTTTACCAAAAATTCATTTACAGTATAACCTGTTTAAGTGGAACACTGAATTAAGTCAGTTGGATCCTCTTACAAAGGTTCCACTTCTGATGGTGTTCCACTCTACAGGTTTCACTGTATTAAGATTACAAAAATTCTTATTTCTCCATTCCTAAATAGAGTTGAAAATCTGTTAAAAATACTGTACAGTGAAACCTGTATACAGTGAACACATATGGAGCCACAAAAATCTGTTCACTGTAGATAGGTGTTCATTACAGGGAGGGTAATTTATATAGAAGTCTGTAAAGCATGTGCAGGGGAAGGGTGTAAACTAGAGACAAGTGTTTAGAGAGAGGTGTCCACTAAGACAGGTCTAACTAGATATACATATTTTTCAAAGGTGTTAAGGAACACTGAAGATCGAACAGGACTTACTCTTCTATATCCTCCCATGAACCACCAGCCTGGTTCCATGTCATAATAGTTAAACTCCTCCGCATGTTCTGAAATACAGTCCAAAAAAAACATTCAAGTACGACTAATACAGTTTTTACATATCTCTTTTATCTTGATTATACATAATGTAACTTTTTAGTTCTCATTTTTCTTGATTACTTAAGATAAGGTTTATTTCAAGCTGTATATAGTTGAGAAATGTTAACATTCAATAGAAGGTGTACATGCAAATTCTCTGAGTTTCAAAGCAATATTTGAAGTTACAATCTTACAGTGTCTTTTAAGCTCTGAATGTTGAAACTGAATGGATAGCTCAAACAGTCTAAGAAAGCATTGTACATACTGGTTACTCTATTGTATACCATATTTCTGTTGAAATTTTAACATTTGACTGTATCATTTAATCACTGATGTTTTTGCTACATCAAGTAAGCAAACATCATTTATGGAAAATGATGAACCATCTTATTTTCTAATGTAAATCAAAATAGATTAGATGTAAAAATGTAAACATTATTAACTAATAAATACAAGTAACCCTACAATACATGTAGCAACCCCAATGTTATTAAATACATTTTGGGGAGGGGTAAAAGTCCATTATGTAATGTCACTTTAATTTGAAAAAAATCAATCAATCTATGTTTAGTAACCTTTTAGAGGCAGGGAATCAATCTGAAAAGCAATCTAAACAAAATAATGGCCACCCTATATTACCAAACCATTCTTACCTCGAGAGACTAGAAAGACAGACCACATCATATATGCCACTATGGAGCTCCATGCTATTATGTAAAACCAGGATTCAAACCATGGTAGCTCTGCTGCTAAATTACCATCCTGGAATTCTCTCTGTGCTTCCTTGGCTCCATTTACAACTGGCACATTGTTTTTATCTATCCCTACAACCTGCTTTCTTGGAGATTCTTTCGCAGCATTTTTCCTTCCCATTTTCTGAAATGACAAGTGAAAGGCTATAAGAACACACAGGTGCTTATTTCCCATGCTTGGAATATTTATGGTTGTTGGTATCTCTATACATAATTCACTTGGGTAACTACCTGAAATTACAACTGTTCAATACATTGTTATGGAATTGCTGATAACAAAGTGCTGATAAGCTGACAACAAAGCCAGTTGACAGTTGTAAAAAGCACCAATTTTCAAAAGGTTTATGTGCAATTATACACTGAAATTTGTCATTGCATCAATTTAATGCAACATTTTATCCAGTTAGAGGACTCAATGTGTAGTATTGCATATACTATATCTAGTAATACAGCACCCATCCCATATCAAACTACAAATGGTTTACACATGGACTACTGACAGAAATATAACACCTCTATATATTTCTGACTACAACTTGTACACGTTGTACAACTTGTACATTCATACCATTTCAAAACCTCTTACCATATTATTTAATAAACTTCTAACGAAATGCACTTATCCAGATATTTGGAAAATAGGCAATGTTTGTCCAATCTTTAAAAAAAAGATAAATCAAATGCTAATAACTACAGACCAATCACTTTGCTAAGCTCCATATCCAAAGTTTTTGAAAAGGTTCTTGCTGACAGAATCAGAAAACACTTACTTGACAATGATCTCCTTTTAAGTATCAGTCCGGATTTTTACCTGGTCATAGCACCATTCATCAACTTTTATCTATCGAGCATTTTCTTCAAAGTACTTTTGAACAAGGACAAGCCTCCAAAACAATATTTTTGGACGTAGCCGCCGCTTTTGACCAGGTTCCACACTCGTTACTCCTCCATAAACTCAAGGCGTATGGTTTTCAAGGTCAAATCCTTAAAATTATCACATCTTATCTTACCAACAGGAAAATTGCTGTTCAAATCTCTGGTGAGACCTCCAACTACTCGGAAACTAATTTTATAAACTGCGGTGTCCCACAGGGCTCAATACTAGGGCCAATACTTTTTCTAATATATATTAATGACCTTCCAGACAATCTGGATGGTCATTGCTACATTTATGCAGATGATACCTCATTACACCATCCTTTTGACCCAAAACAACCACAACAAATAGAAGCAGTGGTAAAATCCAATCTAATGAAAGTAGAAGAATGGTCTAACACTTGGAAACTTGATTTTAAACCAGAGAAGAGTTCTGAGATGATTTTCCACTCACCTAGAACAAAAACTGATAATGTGTCAACTTCAAAACTAAACAATGTAGAAATCAAAAGAGATACCGAGCACAAACATTTAGGACTCATTTTTGACCCATGCTTATCTTATGATAAGCATATTGGTGATTTACTAATCAAAATAAGAAAAATGTTAAACCCATTAAAGGCCCCATGTAAAGTTTAAACCACTTTGGCTTATATTGTAGTCTTACCCAATGTTATCAAAGTGTGATATGTGAAACTTCTTTTTTAAATTTCAAAAAGTGGTTTTTGATAGACTTTTTGTTCCAAAATTTGTGAATTTATTTAAAACCAACTTTTAGAGGTCACTTATATCTTCTAATTCATCCTCCCATGTTTTTTGCCGAAAAAATTAAGAAAATCGGTTGATAAACAAGCGAGAAATGAACTTATCAGTGCATGAAAATGGTTCTGAGAAAAATGCATTTCAAAATTTTAGTTCTCATAGAAACCAATGGTACAATGATATCTAAAACATAATTTATTCTTCTTTTTAACCTGGTTAGACAATCAACATTGTTTTTTTATGAAAGTCTAGCATATTTAGAAAAGATTGACATCGAAAAAAAAAATTCAATTTTTTTCAAAAAGTTTTTGTTACCTTAGTGACATCACTAATGTTTCAAAATATTTTTGATAAGCTAAAACATTGAAGTGGCCCATTAAATATGACATTTTATTATTGAAATAGTGTGTCTTTTGTTCAATCTTTGCATTGGTGTTAAAAAGATAATCTTTTTTGAAATGCATTAAGAAATATTTGATGATTAAGAAATTTCAACTTTTTTGAAAAATGGCGGGAAATTTAAATATTTGAGAAATGAAATGCTCACAACTTTTTTTCAAAAAATCGTCTTTGTTCAAAAATCTCTAAAATCACTTTTCAAGTCCTGATTAATAGTAAATGAATGATAAAAAAATATTTTCAAACTTTAGACGGGGACTTTAAAGAAACTCAAATTCAAGCTTGGGAGCAAGCACCTAGAAACAATCTTCAACTCATTCATTCTTCCTCACTTTGATTATGGTGCCATTTAATATGGCACAGCTTCTAAATTTCTTTTGCGAAGACTCGATAGTCTATATTACACAGCGGCACTCTATTGTTCTGGCTGCATCCAAGGGAGCAGTACAGAAAAGGTTCTAAGTCTCCAAAACTGGCCAACAGTATTTTCCGTACAATCGCCAATTGTATGGGTTTATCGGCAGAACGAAGAGATTTTAGTAGCTAGACACTAAGGCTTACCAATGATACGGACGACCACAATCTAAAGGGGTCGTAGGATGCGATAACCTGTGATATATACCCTCAGGCTGTACAAATCCCGTACACTTCCCTCCTAGGATTCCATGAACTGTTATTGCATTTCATCTCTTGTAATTTCTTCATTTGTTTATATGAAATAGCATGGTTAAGGTACGGCTGGAAAGTAACATTTTGGTAAAAAATTGCTATACCAGCACCAAAGTCAGCACTCTCAATGGTAAGTAGTGGTAGTAAGAGCTAAAAGTTCATAAGCTTTTGGCAATTTTTCTATAAAATTACAGACACCCTACTTTTCAGACTAAGAATTCGACGTTTCTACACAAGTGTTTCCCTATTATTTTTAGTGACGGAGGTCCATAAGACACCAAGGTGTCATTAAAAATGAAAGTCCATACCTCAAATTACGTTGAGATCGTAGAAATCAGTTCAAATGTGCTCATTCTTCAACAAAAGTATCACAAACGCGTCATCTCGCTAAATCTCGTTTAAATCTCTATCCAAATCTCCTCTTCTCAGAGATGCATCCTGGGTAATACAGCATAAAATCGTATCCTAAAGCCCGAATCCCGGGAAAGTATTCGGTTTATGGCGCGTGCGCATTAAACCCAGTAATCTGATTGGTTTAAGTTATCATGACGCATGCGCGATTAATAACTTTGTAGGAACATTTAATTTGACATAGATGTCACTTACGTTCATATTTCACAGCGTGTCCTACCCATGATGCACCATATATTGCGGGATTTTTTTTTGTTTATTGTCAAAACAAAAACTATACACCCAAAACAAATGTAATGATATAATGTCAACCTGCCCTGGATTCGTGGACGTTTGTTGTACAAACTTAAACCGAACCAATGGCAGAAAAGCACTTTGAATCATGGGAATAAAGTACTTCCCTAATGAAAAACCGAACCTCGTGCAGATTAACCCGACTCGTTGTTTACACCAACAATCAATCAGATGGTATTATTACACCAAAAGTAGTGCGAAAAAGTTTTGATGACATTTAAAGACACTGTTCCTCTTTCACGTGCATTATCTCATGGAAATGGGCATACCAGTGCAAAGGTCTTTGTTCCGTGATAAAGGAAAGCTATCAAACATTGTCTGAAGAGCATTCTAATTCTACTTTTAACATGGCGACCTTGACAACATATAGCCATTTGGGCGATAATAGGTGATTCTAAAGTGAAAATGAGTGCTTTTTTCGTAGTTTTACTTTGACCAAGGCTTGAAAATAATTGAAGTGATAAACCTTCCACTGGCGGATTAGGAGGGGGGGGCTGGGGGCCCGCCCCCCTTGGGTGGGCCCAGAAAAAAAAATTGGGCTCAAAAAATTTTTTGGCCAAAAAGGCCTTAAGGCCCCAAATAGTGGGCCTTTTTTGTCATAACTGGGCCTTTTAAGGCCTTATTTTTTAATTTCAGGCCAAATTTTGAAGAAAATGGGCCTCAAAATTTGGGCCCACTTTTTGGTTTCAGGGGCCCCAAATTTTTTTCTGACCTGAAATTTGGCTCCCCCCCCCTCCTTGTTGGTTCTCAGATCCGACCCTGCCTTCCCCCCATTTTTGATATTTTTGTTGTCTAGAAGTGTTCTAGACGATATCAAAGTTTAAGAAAATGTGTATGTCTCGAAATATTTTGAAAATTAGTGCCATTATGGCGGGTCTGGGTGTTTTTTGCTCTCATTTTTACCCATTTCCACGGTTGCAATGGTAACTCATACCTGCCAACCTACCGTATTTTTACTGGCATCTACCATAAAAAATAATATAAATACCGTAAAAAATTACTGTTTTTTCTTGTAAAACAACCGAAAAAATCTACTGTAATTTTACCAAAATCTACCATAAAATATTTTATTATAATTAGATTTTTTCTATAAGAACGGCCGTAAAATATACCGTAAATATTTGAAAATCTACCATATTTCTGCTTGAATTAACAGTATTCTTGTTCAAACTACCGTAAAATCTACCGCAATTATCATTAAATAATGAAAAATTGAATTCTTCTCGTATTGCCCTTGTAAAATTCCATTACCAACCCGAAAATAAATAGGTGCCGGCAGGTCTTTGATGGTGGTTATTGCGTACTTAGTAAGTAACTAAGTAAGCTGGCATGTAATCAATCAACACACTGGGGAATAAACAGTGTTCAACTACCACAGGTGTATCACAGGAAGAGTAATCATGATTAATTTGTAAATTGCTACATTGTAGCAATGGTATGAGTATGATGTCACAGTACACTGGGGCCTAACTGGCGTAAAGGGTAGGGTGTTCGGAAATTTCACTTTTTTACCCTAGAGCTAAGCACATTTGGGTTCCCATTCCTTTTGCCATCAAAAATAATCCTGCAAAGTTTCAGATTGCTAGGATAATGTCTTGGTTCTTGGAATTGCACCTCAAATATCAGCCATTTCGGACCAAAATGGCATTTTTTATGAAATTTGTTCATTTTCAAAGGAAATTAAGACATACTTTACTTTTTGCTATCCCATTA